GTGGCGTCAAGGGGAGGGGAAGTCTTCACAGGAGAGACGCCACTTGAACGGGATCTTAAAGAATGAAGAGAGGTTTTTATGGCCCTGGGTGGGAGAGAGGACCAACTCCCAGCATAACCTGCCCACGCACTTTGTGTTTTTACTGCATTTGGGAATATCTGCAGCCATGCTGTCTACTTCGGGCTCACTTGGTTCATTTGTAAGTCAAGTGCGACAATACACTTTTGCCGTGGACACAAACTTTGAGTGACTACTGTGTGCCTGGCATGGTGCTAATTGCTCTTTCTTGCCCTCTGTCACTGTGACTGACACCAGAGAAGAATCGTGGGTATGGTGGTTTATAACTTTCCAGGAAACAACATTGGTGTCAAAGTAGCAATTGCTTATGGTGTGAGGAATGTCCATATGGTGAGGCTCTCAGAGACACCTCTTTCTGAGGCCTCTGTGTGATATTATTGTTTTATAATTCTTTGTCTAATTTTCATTATATTTGCGAAGTGATTTACCATTTTTCTTTTCTTGTTTCAAGTTCATTTGAAAGAGCTATACATTAACTCTCTTCTCTGGTGTGTTCATTATGTGTGACTATTATCGAAGACAGAAATACAGGCATGGGCAAAAGTTGGTTTACAGTGGTAATACAAATAAATAATACAATAATAAATAATACAAGAATAAACCGTGTTTCGAGTACTCACCACTGTAAGCCTACTCTTGCCCAGCCCGGTGTAATTACTATTTGGCTCACACTGACTGCACACGGTGTCCTTGGTTTCATTCAGAAGGCACAAAAGAAGGAGCTGCTTCATTCTGTAAGAGTGGCTTTGTGTCTCCCCAGATCTCCTTAGTGATAACAGCAGTCATGTCACAGGGCCAGCGAAGCCTCTGAGGGAGGAATTTCTTTCAGTAACTTAGTCTTAGTGTGGGGCTGATGGTGGTGGTGGTGGGGGGGTGTTCTGGTTTCACTGAGCTCTGGATTGCTCTAGCAGTTCAGGATACATTGGGCACAGTGAGCCGGGCTGGGAACTCAGGGGGCCTGGGCTGAGCAGAGAACTGCGTGCCTGGGGAAGGGAAAGGGGAAGTGATTCTAGACTCTGTCTAACCTTGGATATTGTCAGCACTCCCTCACCCCTCAGCACTCCAGTCCAGCTGCCAGCTGCCAGCACCAGTATTTATGGGCCTGAGCGCCTTCTCTCTCCTGTGAAATTAAGCTGCCTGCTTGGCAAGCCAGAAGTGTAGGAGAATTATCATACCCCCGGGAGCAGCCTTCAACCAGTGATTGACAGGAGTCGGTGTGTCGCTCTCCCAGCTCCCTCCCTCACTGCCTTGCATGCCTGATGTGTTTGCTTACACTGGCTTTCCCAGCAGGATTCAGTACCAGTCACCCACAGTGGCACTCCCCTTCCTGGTCCACCTGCTCCACCTTCCCTCCCTGTCTAACTTTTCCATTCCCCTACTGGTGCTTGCCTTCCCCTCTGAATAAATCCTTGCACAAGAATCTGTGTCTCAGGATTTGCTTCTGCAGAAAGCTATGAGCTAAAATATGTTACCTCATCTTTCCTAGAGAAAGTTCCAGGCACCTGGCCCTCACACCCACCAGATGGGCATGGTGAGCGAGGAATCAAAGCCGGGTCACTAGCTAAGTGGTCCAGACCATGCCTACTGACCTTTGATTTCTTTCTTTGTGCTCGATGCTGACTAGTGTCTTCTGCCAATACATTCTTTCTCGACACTGAGCACAAGGCAGGTAACCACGAATCTGTTTTCTAAATTACCATCATATCCCTCCTCCTCCATGACCTCGCCTCCCCTGGTTGACGCTAAGTCATCTTGGTGAAGCATCAAACCTATCCTCTCAAGTTACATGTTTATAGCATCTCTTGATTTATTGCCTGTAGCTAAATACCTATTATTTCATCTGCCTGGCACCCCTGTCCCTTCTCCCGGGATCAGTCACATAATCCCCTTTTCCAACCACATAATTCTACGGGACCTGCCAGGTCCCTCAGCAGAAACGACTTCTGCTCCCATCCTCTTACCCCAGACGTAGTTGCCTAGAGGGTGAATGCAAGGTGAAAAACGAGGCAGGAGAGGACTTCTTTGAACTTGCTGATGAAATAATGGAGAGAGGCAGGCTAAAAGCTCTAGGAGGGGCTGAGGGCAAAGGAATGTCTTTCGTGTTTGACTTCAAACTGAAAACTCAGCAGTCTTCTTTTTAAATATATCTTTATTGATTTCAGAGAGAGGAGGGGAGAGGGAGAGAGAGACAGAAACATCAACGATGAGAGAGTCATTGATCAGCTGCCCCCCCCGCACCCCCCCCACGGGGGATCGAGCCGGCAATTCGGGCCTGTGCCCTGACCGGGAATTGAATGGTGATCTCCTGGATCCTAGGTTGATGCTCAACCGCTGAGCCACACCTGGCTGGGTTCAGCAATCTTCTTGATTCCTCCCTTCAGTCTCTGTCAACCCTGCTTGTCCCCTTGCCAGCACCTCGATTTCGGTCTCACCTCCTCCCCTGGATTACTTAGCCTTCAAACCTCCTGCCTCGAGCCCCGCTCCTCTCTTCCGTTAAGTTGCTAGCGTGTTCATTCTGAAAGGCAAATCTGACCTTGTCAGTCTCTACTTACAGCCCTTCTGTGGCTTCCCATTGCCCTCTGCAAATCCTTCAGATCCTTCTGAGGATTTCAAAACTGGTGAGGCTCCTCTCGCTCAGGCCCGCTCTCCCCACTCACCTTGCAGAGCGTGCTCTCTTCTGCACACTCCTGCCCTTGGCGAATGTGCCATGTTCGTATCCACAGTCCTGTCTTTGCAGGTAGCATGATTCCCTCCTTACGACGTACTCCATCTCCTCCCTCTGTCTCCTCCTTCAGTGACCTAACTGTCTCTTGCTGGTCCCTCAGGACTGAGCTGAAGTGTCATTTCCTCTGGAAAGACTTTCCTGACTCCCTCACACCTAGATAAGTACACTTTGTATTTTACTATGGTGACACTTAAACCATTTTCTAATTACTTGGGAATAGGGGAGAGTGTCCTGTGTCCCTGGAGCTTGAGGGGTGCAAATGCTGATGTCTAACTTTCCTGGAAGAGTTCCAAAGTGAGAGATGGCTGGGCTTCTCCTCGTGGCCTGGTGGGAAAAGAGGACTTTGGTGGGAAGGGCCTGTTCTCCAGGGTTTAAGTGGGACAAAGGTGCAGGCTGTCCCCTGGGCCAAGTGGACGCCCAGGCCTGAGTCATTTGGTAGAGTCCCAGTCCAACGGCACTGCTCAGTGGGGTGAGGTAACAACGGAAAGAGTGTAGCTGGGATTTACCATTAGAATAGGGGTGAAGGAGTGTTACAAATAGTCAACTAATTATTGCATCTGAGTACCAGAGTGCAGCTTGGTGGGAGACCCATCCAGGGGTCCCCGGCCACTGCTAAGCAGTGAGGCAGCTGGGATTTGCGCCTGATCCCACAGGATCAGTTTTGTGAGTGGAGGGGCAGGGTGAGTGGGAGAAACCTCACAATGGGAGTAAAAACAGGTGAGCACCACATCAAGATTTCCTGGAAAAGTGGGTGGGGAATAAAAAAGTCACATGCATAACATCCCTGACTGCAGCTACAAAACTTCTGTGGCAGAAAACTCAGTGAGCGGAGAAGTGCGCACATGGCTACTATGTCTTCGGATTTTTTGATCCTGTCATTAGAGTTTCCTGCTTTGAAGAGTTTCCTTAAAAAACAAAGCCTCCAAAGTCTGAGTGAGTGGAAGGAAAGAAAACGGAAGCCCCTCAGCACACTGAAGGCTGCCCCTGAAGGGTCTTGGAGGAACCCTAACACCTGTTTCACTGTCAGCCTTGATTCCAGAACCACCGGCACTCGGGGCTCCACCTCAGTGTTGGAACCGCGCAAGGGCTGAGGCTCCGACACAAACCAGGCGGATTTATCGGGTCACCGAACAGGGAGGCCCTGGAGCAGGCACACTAGACGTTTGCGGGGGGCGCCCACAGTGCCAACTCGCCCAGGGTGCCCTCCGCCTGCGCCCCTCACAGGAGCGAGGCTTAAGCAGGACCCGAGCAGACAAATGCGCTTTAGGGAAGGAACCGGGCTTGATCGCCCCGCGGGAGTTTCCGTCGCGAGTGGG